CTCTTTGGAGAACATCTGCTTTCTGGTGTCAGCCTGACCCTGTTCCTCACCCACCACTGGGAGGCGGAGGAGAACTCGGGGAGCTTCCCTTCTAGTCTGTCTTTAAATATGGACGTTGACTTCTTTCAATCTCAGCTCTCTAAGTTTGTTAGTCAGAATTCGAGAGACCCACACATACTGAATCTATGGTGATCTTCATCTGGGTTCTGAGGTGCTACCTTGCCCTGCCTTCTGTCCACATGGCAGCAGAGGTAATGTCCGGGACACTTATTTCGCCTTTCCAAATTCTATTCATTCATCAAGGTCAAATCATATCCACTGATACAACTTTCTCCGAAGCAGCCGTGAATTTATAATCAGTAATGCATGATTTAATTATTTTTTTTTCCTCTTCGGCTATATTGAAAGTTTCTTCAGAACAATGGGAAAAGGTTTTGTGCTCTGATCTGTCTTGTGGCTTCTACGTGACAATTTGTGCTCGTACATTAAAGCGCAATGATCGAGCATTGGGACCGGTTTCTCCTGGAATCGGCCTTGTTATTTTACAGTTTATGGCCTATGGAATTGACTGCCATATCATTCAGGTTACACGTATCCAGCCCTTTGTGGTGCCGGGCTTCACTCCTGGTGAGCATCAGAAACTTCGCAACTTAAACGAATCACAGATGCAGGGATCCCACCTACAGAATCAAAATCTCCAGGGGACCAAGCCCGGGTATCTCTATTTAAAAAATATTTCCTGAGTGTAATGTACAACTTTGGTGTTAAGAAAGCCTGGCTCATGACACATGAAGGTCACCCCTGGATGGAACTGTGCCAGCAGAGCTTTCCCAAGTACACGTGGCGCTTACAGACCCAACAACAGAGGGGACACACACACGTCATTATGGCAGGATGGTGCTAGGATTGTGCCTGAGCGACCACAAGCGGGCTATGTACGAGAGGAGGACAGCCTAGCGTTCAAATACATCTGGAACAGGGACTCTTGAAAGCATTTTTTAAAACCCTCAAACATAACGACTTGGGCCAGTGAGGACGAAAAGAGAGCAGAAGCTCATCCGGAGAAGGGGAGAGACGAAGAGCCAAGCAGGCAGGTGGCTGTCCACAGAGTGTGACTTCTAAGGCCCCACCGACTTAACATTCCATCATGAAAAACTCATTCCTTTGGCTTAAAACTTTGTCTCCTGTTAAAATGGAAATACCTGTGAATCACATCGGACTGGGTTCATCACATCTTTACCTGAGAACACACTATGATGAGGTGTGAAGAAAGATCTGGAAAAAACGGGTGGAAGGGTGAGATGCTTTTGCCAAAAGGGGAAACACACTTACTGAGCAGGGCATCTTGCAGACCGCGGCCACTGGACAAATAGTGCCAACTTGATTTGCTATCGTTGAAGAGAAAACGGCTCGAAATGAAGACGGACTGTTCCATATTTTATACTTTCTCCCCCCGACTCCCCTGCCGAAGAGCTTCTTGGCTCACCCCGGCCTCTGCTGCTAGCTTTTGAATCGAGAAGAAAGCAGCAGGAGAGCAGCCGCATCCCCGGGGAGATGGCCTCGTGGTCCAGGCTGGCCCCAAAGAGCGAGGGCTCTGAGATCCAGCCGAGGATTTTCCTCCGACTCGCTGTGTGGCCTCTAGCCAGTCTCCCAAACGACTTTAGTTTCCTTGTATGTCCAACCAAGACAAACACCTGACTTCCCACCTCTCTGGGGCATCGTAAGGCTTCATCGCTGCCACTGTCATTAACGTTTGTCCAAAGACCGTAAGAAGACATGTTTCGAGAACTTTTAAGACGAATTATTTTAACCGTTCGCATTATCTTTCTGATATCGGAGCTGATGCGGCATTCGGTGGAAAGGAAAATGCATCAGGAGGGTGGGAAGATGGAGAACAGGACTTGACTCAGAGGAGCCGTGTTTGTAGTGGAAGAGAAACACAGGAGGGGGTTTAGGGTTGAGGTGTGAGGGAGAAAAGTCTACAATTGGTACCAGATGCCATCAGAAGCTAACGATCTGACAAACATCGTCCTCGTAAAACAAATTCCTTAAAGAGGAAGCAAATGGAAATATAAGCTAGTGAAAGAATTTGTAGCCGCTGCCCTAAAACCATTTCTCACTTCATAAACAGGTCTGGGTCGGGTGGTTTTTTTTTTTTTTTTTGGTCTTGGTCTTATTTCATGCCACTTTTCTTCTCTTCTGTGCTCTCCTGTCTCGCTCTTCCTCCCTTGCTGCCAGGGCTGGTCGGACTTCTCACGCCAGTAGTCATGGTAACATGGAACCCCATCCTGATGGAAGGAGGCTCGTTCAGAGTACTTAGTTTTTGTCTTAGCGTGTGTTTGTCCTCAATGATAATTGGATGGAGGCGCCGAAAAACAGCATGTGCTATTTCACATTAATTTCTTGGCAATAAGCTGACGTTAACCACAACTGTTAATGACTCTGTGTTTTCCAGTCCTCTCTTCTGAATACCCTGGAGAAATACTAGATTTTATGGATATCGAGGGCACGTAGCCCCTATGGAACACGGAGTCCTTTAGCATCACTGATGAGGTGTTTTGACCTCATCCCATGAAGGATAGTTAGGTTTTGGATCCCTTATCCAGACAGGTCGAATAGAGACTCAGAGACAAGATACATTTCCTGTATCGCATACGTAATTATCAGGGTTGAGTCTGGGGAATTCCAACGGACGGTTAACACTCCTTATCCATCAACTCATCTTTCTTTCTCCATCGGACCCCAGGGGGTGAGTGAGGGAGACCATACCATCTCAGGGAATAATCAGGGCTCAGAGGAGTAAAAGTTCCCTTCACAAACCTGAGCACACGAAGGTGCTCCAAACCTCCATCCTCTACCTCGTGAGCCTAGGGAGGTAGGTAGAGAAGTGAGAATGTCACTGACATAGGACTTCAGTCCCTCAGGCGTAAGATCAGAGAAAGCGATCTTATTCAGATTAGCATATTCAGATTAAATCCATCCTTTTGAACTAATGCTTTTTAAGTCAATTCTCAATTATTTCAAGGCAGTATGTACATGTTCAGTGACATTTTATTTTCCACTTTCTTGTATCGTTGCTCAGCTCTTTTGATGAAGACACCGACCAAATTAAAGATGATGAAATTCACAGTAGTCACTTTGCCTCATATTTAGCACCCCTGGTAACAACATCATGAGCAAAAAAATATTGGAAAAGATCTGGTTGGTCTCTCCCACTAGACTCCGAGTTCCTTAAGGGCATGGTACATATCATACTCCCAGTACTCAGACCAATGCCTTGCCAATGGTGAGTGCACGCTAAATGATTATTAATGAATGAATGAGTAAGGCAAAGCGGTCGAATCATTGTTTGATAATGATGCTTTTGTATTTCAGGTCCCCATCTGCCACTACAAAATTTAACGCATTTTCCATTTGGATAGCCATAGACTTACTTTGCTGTCTATAATACGAACAAATTTAATTCAACAAACTTTTATTGTCTCTACTACAGCAAGGTATATGGTAAATGTAAAAGTGAGTAAGAGAGCTGTCTTCAAGAAGTTTGTAATCTAATTGGGAGATTCAGCATTTAGGAGACACTTAGATACTAATTCCCTGGTGGATCAAAGGATGAACAAATTAATTAACTAAAGAACGAGCAACTACACGCGTGACTATAATACAGTGCAGAGCAAAAGAAGCATTAGAAGGGAGTTATTTTTTTATTATTTTTTTTTAATTTCCCTGGGAGGTTCAAAGGAGAAAGATGTCTGGAGGGGCTTCTTGGAGAAGGAAAACCTTTTAGAAATCTCAGCAAATTGAGCAACTATGCAGAAGTGGGAAAACCAGAAAGTGAGTAGATGACAGGAAACCGGCCACTGGAAAACCTTTTAGAAATCTCAGCAAATTGAGCAACTGTGCAGAAGTGGGAAAACCAGAAAGTAGTGGTAAAACCAGTGAGTAGATGACAGGAAACTGGCCACTAAGGGTGGGATCTTGGGCCGTTTGCAGTGGAGCAGCAGAGGGGGTTAACTCTGGAACAATAACACCCCCGAGGCACGGGCACCTTATTATCCTCATCTTATGGGGGAGGAGCCGAAACATGAGGGTAGGAGCAACTCAGCTAAGGCACACAGGTCTCAAATGGTGGAGCCAGGATTCAAATTCAGACGCGCTCACCGGCGCCCTCATGGTTTACCTCTGAGATGCTACCGTGGCAAGACGGGAAGGCTCTGTGTGCTGTCACATCCTCGTTGCTGTGATGGTCCCGGCTGAGTCTCCCTGGGCTGTGGGGCGTTTACCTCTCTCTCTTGTTCCTGGTCAGTTGCAACCATCCTCCTCTGCTGAGATGCTGTCCTGGGTGCACCTCGCTCAGCGTCAGGCACGGGACAGCAATTTTGTATGTGTGTTTCCTCTTCGTGTCATGTGCTCAGTTTCTGATGAGTCAGTGCTGCTACTACTCAGTGGTGTGTGTCCCACTACGGCTTGTCGCCGAAAACATTTCCATACCAATCAGTAAATACGTGTTGCCTTTGCTGCCGTCCAAGATACTCGAACCCTTCAAACAAGCCTGTGGTTAAACAATTGAAAGGTTAATGGCTGACACAACCCAGAGTCCCCAGGATTCACTCCTGACTTTTGTCCCGGCTCTGTTCTCATCGTTTGGGGCGCAGCAGCACCTGCTGTTAAATATCTTGAGGATTACCTTCTGATCTGTTCTTTCGGATGTCATCCAGGGCTTTTGGGACACACTCTCCACCTTGTCTCATCACCACTCTGTCCTAGAAGAACCGTAGAAAGTCGGTTAATCATTACTTATTAGCTGATAATGTTCTTGTTTATTTTATGTTGCATGGTTTCAAGTCCTATAGAAGGAGATGATGAGTTTAATGTAGGTTTTGGGGGGAAAAATTGTTCTCTTTGGTTTAAAGGAACATTCCAGATGGAGCTGCAAGGTCTTTGCTGTTGCCTGTTGGTCCTGAGTCAGTCTAAGCTGCTTCTGTTTCTGTCATCCCCAGCTGTGTCCATCGGCCGTGTGGGGAGCAGGGCAGCTGTGCCCCACTGCCGCTTGATCATGCGGATGTGGTGAACTGTACCTCTGATGGCCCAGGTCACATGAAGTGCGCTATCACCTGTCAAAAGGGATTTGCTCTTCAGGACAGCAGTGGGCAGTACCTCAGGCCCTTACAGGTGAGTTGGAAACCCTTGTTCATAAGGACCATGCGCCTGGTAGGGGAGGTACTCATGTTCCTCTCCCTGGCCCAGTCGGGGAAGGGCAGTGGTTTTTAAATCATTTGAAAGGAAAAATAAGGACTCTAATGAAGGAGGAGAAGCATGGTCTTTTAGAAATGCAAGGTATATAAGAGCCTGCGCAGGTTCCGTTACCTAGGACATCGGCCTCTCTCCAGGTGCGCAGTAGATAGGGATGCTTATTCCATTCTCCCTTGTCCTTGTCTTCCTGTCAGAAATCATGGTCTCCACTTTTGTCTTGAAGATGAGGATGCCATAGTTTAGCCTCGTCCCCAATTTGCAGACAAGATAGGTTGTGGTCAGTTATCTGTGTTTCATTGTCTAATCCCCCAGCCCTTCTTATAAGAAGTCTGGAGAGAGAGAGTCAGGTTTTCTTCCCTCTGTTATAGAGTTGGGGATTATAGCGTGATTCTAGCTTTAAATGAATTTTCTATATTTCTACAAAGCTGCCACAGTACCATTTCCAGGATTTCAAGATGATTTGGAGGTAGAAGAAAATATTAATTAAGAGCATGGCTCAGGAGACAGACCTAGAAAGAAATTTTGGCTCCACGTAGTCGATGTGTAATTTTAGGTAAAAACAAACAAACAAAAGAAACTAACCTCTTTATGTTTGTTTCCACATTTGTAAAATAATTAGAAGTGTTTATGTCATTTGAGTTATCATGAAGACCGATTGGAAATAATTTTAAAGCTTCTAGCAAAATGATAGGCATGTAGTGCTCTGTTAAGCTGCCATTATTATGAGCATGATGATGTATTCTCAGCTAGAGGTTTTGTTTTTCACCTTCCCTTTAGAGGGCTTTCTATAGTTTACAGAGCATTTTAACTTGAAATCGACTATTAGAAAGCATGGGCATAGTATGGGATAGAGACGGTGCAGTGGACAAGAGATAATGGCACTTGAGAAGAGATCCCGGAAGACGTGGCATAATGAGGAAAGAGTTGGGGGCATGATCGCTAGTTGGGTATCAATGGTTTGGAAGATCGAAAACATTTTTTTCATTTTGTACCAGTTGACTGCATGGCGGGTTGTGGGTCCATGGGACAATTTCAGTGGATGAGAGATAATCAGAATTTAAAGATAGTCTTTGGCTTCCAATGGTTTAGATCCTGCGTAGAGACAAACAGTTTTAATATAGCTTGAGGCATCCTTGGTCTACGATGCTTCGGTCGAAAGTAAATGCTCTCGTCACCTACCTGTGCTTAACCAGCTTAACTTGCACTAGAAAAGAGATAGGAAAAAGATGAAAAAAAAAGCACCCGAAAAAAATGTAGGGACCAAATACATTTGTGTGATCGGTAAAGAAGGGGAGAGAAGGAAGGACAGTGTTTGCAGTGCATTAAAATCAGGAGCGAATTCAAGACAAAACGGACAGTGTTTAATGAAGCCGGGAGGCAAACCAGGAATATAGACCGAGTTTGAGAGCCGTTCTTTCTGCGATCGCCGGGGTGCGAGCCACGCTCCAGGCCGTGAGAGTGTGTAAGGGCAGTGTCTGCGCCGGCGGGAGGTAGGTGGGCGCGCGCCCTTCCCAGCCATGTGGTGGACTCAGCTCTCCAGGGACCGCGCCTGGCACCTGAGGCTGGCCCCACGAAGGAAATGATACAGCCCCGGCTCGCGATCACAAGACAGTGGGGATGTTTGCTTTGTGTCGACACGAGAACGGAAACTAAACGGAAAAATGTGTCTGGCTTTGCATGGGATCCCCCTGGCAGGCAGCACGGAAACATCGGAGAGCGAGGAGGCGTCGCGGCCAGGAGTGGGGGTCGGGGTGACAGGTGCTGTTGCTAGTCGCTTCACCTCTGGCTCTGGTCGCCGTGGTCTCCGGGGGGGAGGGGGGGCTGGCTGAGCCACAGAATTGTCACCACCCCCGGCCCCCCCCACTCTGTATTTTTCACGTGCTTGTATTTTCTTCCTTTTCAGTCCCCATTTCCTAGCTCTCGCGCTTTATCGTTTCCGTTCTTCGTCTGTATTTTCTCAAACCATCGTGGCCGCGGGAGGACGGGAAAGCCTATCTCTTGCATTTTGCCTCTGGACTTCCCTTTCTCCCTTCATGTCTCTCTTTCTCCTTCTTTCTATTCTTCCTCCTTCAGGCGTTTTCTGAACCACAGTTTCAACCTGCGTTGGGCTCTGCTGGTAGCTGATTAGCTCCTTAAGGGCGTCCCGTTTATCCAAACCTAATACAGAACCTGAATCTTCTAGGTGCTTAATGTCTGCTTCATTGGCTTAGTGGTGATGAACCCTAGCTGCCCTACAGAATGCTAGGCCCAGGGAAACGGCTGCGATCTCTCAGACTCAGCCACAGGGTTTGAAAGATGCCTCGTATGCATTAATTTGCAGCTCTTCTTACGTACTCTTCTCAGTGGAGGTGATTCTGCTCAGTGCCTTTATCAGCTGGCTTATCAAAAAGAGTCCCAGCAAGAAACAGATGACATGCTCAAAAGTGGGCAATTTGAGAGAATTTAGTAAAGGGACTACTTAGGAAGGTGGTGGCAGGATATAGGGAAATTACACGGAGATGGCGCAGGACCCCAAGGGGCAGGGGCTCTGCTCTCAGCCCTGGGCCAGGAAAGTCGACCGTGGGGAGCAGCCAGAGAGCCCATAGGAGGAGAGCGCAGGGGCAGAGCGGAAGGGCCGCCGGGTGAGGGCGCCAGTCCGAGGCAAGCCCGGAGTGAGGGAGCAGAGAGAATGCGCGCCTGACCTCTTTCCTCACTCCCTCTTCAATGTCCCGGTCATCCTGGGTGCTGAGCCCAAGCACAAGTCAGGGGCGCAAAATCCACAGAGGCTGGAGTCCTTGGGCACAGAGCAGGGTGGGGAGGGGTGGCCAGCCAATGTGCGGGAGCACGTGGAGGGCAGCCCAGAGCCGGACTGGAGGGGCATCTCCACCTGACCCTCCCGCAGGGACGGCGCTGCCATCGGCACCATACCTGGGCATGCTGAGACTGTACATCCAGACAGTAAGGCGTAGGGAGGGAGAAAGGCAAAATCATTTTTACCTATCTTGAGCGTTTGCACAAATAACCAGCAGGAAAGTATTTTGATAAGCCTTTTTATGTGACCTTGACAGAGGAAAATTTTCTGTTTATAGAAGGAAATTCTACTCACATGCTCCTCTGGGCACTGGGATCGGGCAGTGAGCTGCATGGCCCTTGACTGTGGTGTCCCCGACCCGTCCTTGGTGAACCATGCAACCTTCTCCTGCTCAGAGGGGACAAACTTCCGGAAACGCTGCGCAATCTCCTGTGTCCCACCAGCCAAGCTTCAAGGTACTGTGTAGCCAGCCGGACCCGTATGCAGTTCCCTTCAGTCCCTCCCTCTTTGGGGGTACTTTGGGGACCTTTGCTTTACCCCGGTACTCTTCCCCTTTGCCTTTCTGTACCACCCTCATCCGATGACACCAGCAGAGTCCCGAACGACAACGCTATTCTTTGTCCCGACTACCTGGAAGGATGCTCTGCTCAGAATGTCGTCAACGAAAGAGACTAAGGCTTTTCTCAGTTTTTACTCGATCATGTGTCCTCTGGAGTGAAGCCAACTAACAGTTTCCTGTTCATAATAATAAAGACACACGTTGTCATGCACGTTTTAAATGACCATTTATAGCCATCCTATGAGTTGGGTGCTTTTAGTTCTATTTTCTAATGAGGGACAGTTGTAAGATTTGTTCCTGGCCGTCCTGCTTATGCACAAAGACGACAGGGTGGCACCTACTCTGACTGGCCCGCCACCCTGCCGTTACCTCTTCCCAGTTGCTGGTGGCCTAACGATGGCTCCTTCCGAATGCAGCTTCCTGAACCCCATGCAGATGGGTTGGGATTTAGAAAGTCTGGGGTGGGCTGGGGACGTGACTGGGGCAAGTCCATGGATTGCAACGTAGAGAAACCGCGAATTGTACTAGGCCTGAGGTGGAGCGTTTCAGCCCAGAGCTCCGCGGCCAGACTGCCCGAGTTCAGTCCTTACCTCTTACTAGTTCGAGCAAGTTACCTAAACCCAGCGTCCTCAGCTGCAAAGTAGGGGAGGTAATGGTGTCTGTTTTATAGGGTTGTTTAAAGTTTACATGAGTTAATACGTGTCAAATGCTAAGAACAGTGCCTGCCATATAATAAGCACTGTAAAAAGGCAATCTGTTATTATTATACAGCTTCCCATGACGCTGTCACTGCTATATTTCTGTCATTTGTAGTTAGGAAGCGAGGTAATGATTTGGTCATTAGCCCTTCCTTCATCGAAGTCAAGAAATAGTTATCCGACCTCCATTCTGTATAATAGGTCACATCGGAGGTTCTGTGGCAAAAAGTATTAGGTAAACGTTTGGTCTGAGATTTTTTAGAGAAGTTGCTGAACAGAGAATAATGCGCTTTCTAAGAATGCCGATGCGGTGACAGGTTTGGGCTCTTTTCGCTCTTCTTACATTCGCGGGCCTTGTTCTGAGCCTCCTGTGCTTCTCTTTCCTGGAGTCAGGACTGAGCCCGTGGCTGACCTGCCTGGAAGATGGGCTCTGGTCACTCCCCGAAGCCTACTGCAAGTTGGAGTGCGACGCGCCCCCCGTGATCCCGAATGCCAACTTGCTCCTGCCACACTGCCTCCAGGGCCACCACGACGTGGGCTCCGTCTGCAGATACGAATGCAAACCTGGCTACTACGTGCTGGAAAGTGCGGAGAGGAAACTCAGGAAGTGAGTTGACCTGTCCCTGGTCTTGGCGGTTCTCTCTACACTCGTACACTTACTTGCTCCTGTTCCCTCTTCGTAAATCCTAGATCATTGTTTTGAGAATAATTTTAAGACCTTCTCGGTCGTCCGCTGCTTGTTGTGTGTGTTTGATTTTCTGTACAATCTCTTTTCACCTGCACAGGTGTATTCCCTAGTCATGACAGGCAGGTCGACCTACTGTGCTTGCGGTAAAGATTCTCTTTCCTGTGGGAGATCCCACAGTCTCCCCCAGGTGCTTTTTAAAGGAATCACCGCCCTAATTATCATTTTCTTTTAAGGTAAGTGGCAGGAGCTTTCCAAGTGTTATGCGTGTCACCCGCCTCCAGCTGTGTGCGGGGACATCCTCTTCAGGACAGTTGGGGACTTAGGGTTGTTCAGACACTTATTAGTTGTGTGATGCTGCCTCAGTCTTCCTCATCTGTAAAATGAGGATAAAAGTAATAATATCTGCCTGATAGGCTGATGTGGGGACTAAAGAAATTCACATGTGTCAACCATAAGATTCAGTAAATTTATTTTTAAAGCACAAAACTCATTATGTATTAGCCGTTGGTATTGTCGTTATAGTTTCTGCTTTCTTCTTCTTGGGCCTTTGTGTACACACTCCTGGACCTGGAAGTCGGAGGCGCCTTCCTTCTGCAGGCACGGTGGGCCAGAAAGCACGAAAGCTTTACGTGTGTTTCAGGGGACGGGCTCTGAGGACAGTCATGCTGGAGTGACCTCAAGCAGGTTACTTAACGCTCTGGGTCTCGGTCTCCTTCGTGGGGTGAGCCCAGTGCCCACATCAGTGCTGGGTTGAGGAGCAAACGAGCTAACACGAAACCCGCCTAGTGCCTGCCTTGTACCAGGGGCTCAATCAACAGTCTCAGAAAAAGAATCTTTTTCTGAACAAACAAAAAGCTTTCAGGAAAAGAAACTCTTTGTACTCAGTAAATAGTAGCTATTCCTTCCCTACCATAAATTATGTCAGAACAAGAGAAGATCAAATTCATTTCCTACCCAAGACTGATTAAAAGTCTGACCACAGTAGGTATCTTTTTTTAGATACATATTTTTTAAACTAACAAAATCCCACACATAGATTTACCACTAATGCCAGAGGATACAAGCCTCACTTGTAAGCTAGAATTCTCTAAGGGAGCAGAAGGAAATCTGAAGACTTACTCTCCGGCTCACACACGTGCCCTTCTCCAGTCGATACCCTGCCATTGTAACATGGGTCGGGTTGAGTCTGGCTCCACCCAGGGCCTCCCGCTCCAGAAAAGGCACAGA